TGGAAGCTCGCGCAAAATGACGCGTAGGGCCATAGAGTAACTGTGCGATTAGCCGTTATTTTTTTCTCTTCGCAAGGGTCGCATCTTTCGACGATTTTGTGTGTGTAAATTACTTCACGCATGGTTCATTAGCGGAGTTTTTAGTCGATTACTTTCAGAGAAAGTTTTTGTAACCGCTCACGAACACTTGAACAGAATCTAAAAGCAGACTAGCAATGTTTTCTTAGTATCGTGCGATAAAGTTATTTTTTCCCTTTTTCTTCTTCCTTTTGTGACACCTATTATGAATTCTCAACAGTGATGATCGATACGATGTGTAGGCCACTGACAAATCAGAGTATTTTGCTCAACCTCGTCCAATAATTGTCAAGACGTGTCTAAGCCAGCGTAACACTTGGTGATTTATTCGCCGATCGCAGCGAATTTGATCGCCGGCGAAATCGCTGATAGGAAGTCACCGATATCTGGCATGTCAAAGACGGTAATCACGGCGATCAGAAAACTTGCCTAATCAGATGCAAAACTAAGACCAAACCCCACTTGGTCCCGCGCGTATTCCCGCGTTTTAGGCAGATTGGTTTGTTTTACTTTGAGCTCTCATTGGCTCGAGGTATTTTCCTTTTTTCTGATTAGCTGTTGCGATTACTTTGGTTTCGGTTTTAGGACACTTAATCGAGAAGCGTTCCAGATTGTAATTCACCATTATTACAACAACCGCAACGTTCTTTGCGATATTTACTGATCTTACTCTGTTTGTTGAGATGACGTGAATCAGAAAGTTCGTGCGGGAGGATTGTTGATATCCATGTTTCCAGTTTGCAAGATGCTCGACGTTAAGTGTTTTAGTTCTGTTTTTAGAAGTTTACGAATACATCGCCTTAACTATTATGTTTCTTTCATCAAAGTCAATCTAAAAAACGTCCTGAATCTAATTCTAGAGAGCCATCCTGCGACATTTTTACCAGTTATCCAGAGTTTTGGTTTGTGACTTTAAATATCTTTTTTTCCTTTTCACTCGAGGTTGTGCAAAACAGCGCATTGCAAATTATGGGAATTAAAAAAGGCGAGTTAGACAGAAATCTTACATTCTATTCAAACTCGTTCAGAGATTGATCTAAGCGTAAGAAGATGGCGTAAATTAGCGTTCTCGAAATAACGCTTTAAATTGTCTGCTTTAGAATTAAACTGGCCAAAAATATAAACAAAGACATTATGAAGCGGAACTAACCTTTTCCTGCTTTTCCTGCCATTTTACGTCTGGATTTGGTTTCGTTTTATTCTATCTCTCAAAATATAACTTTTCGAGCCACCTCGATCTCTCTTCTGCGGACACTTCCCTCTATGACGTAGGTAATAGCATAATATGCACGCGACTGACATGGTAACGAGGTTCCGTAAATGTGATAACTTTCGTGTTGGCATTTCGAATTTTCCAAAGCTTATGAATATATCAAATACTGTTCATGAACTCTAAACATTCTAAACGTAAACTATACCACGGGATGCAGACCTAAAGTGCAAAAACAAAGGAATCCGTTTAACTTTTGGCAAGTGGGAAACCAAAAATGAAGAAAACGGAGAGGTGAATCAAACGTCTGTTGCAGAGTGTGCACTTTTTCTTTTAAACGGTTCCCTTCTATTCCACAATTACAGTTCTTCACAAAATTTTTGCCACTTTTTACTACATGCAACCTCTTATTAGGTTAGTTACCTCATTCGCGCAAAATGTGAGTGCGAACACTCGGGTGTTTTAATTGGTCGAACTTGAGGTGAATGAATGGCACCGGATTCAGAGTACGCGACGTCAAACAAAAGAGGAAACACATTAATTTAGCGAGAAACTAGTGTTTCTCAAGAGAGGATCATTTCAATACAAAACAGCTTGAGATGAAGGAGGTAAATATCCATAAGTGACATATGCAGCAAAACTGTGCTGAATTCTACATAGATTTTCGGAGAAGATGATATATAATTTTCTTCTCTGACCGAAACATCATGCACAGAGGCGTAGCCAGAATTTTTCAAAGGGGGGGTCACAGAGGCATGAAGGCCATTTTATACCGCTGCTCTCCCGCTTGTATCAGCGGGCTCAGTCATATCATCGCAGCGTGAAGGCCCATATTATATAGAGACCTTAAGATACCCCGAAATCGGTGTACGGGTAACGGGTAGCGCCATGTTTCATTTTGCGAAGACGTCATCGATCTTACCCGGTAGACCCAGCCGTTTTTCCGGGGTAGACACCAGTTTACCCGTAGAAGAATTACGAGTACGAGAGTACGAGAAGGACGAGCTACGTGATGGAGAAACGAGTGAGTTTTTTTTAAGACATTTTGAATTGTTTGACACCTTGGCAATGTTATTGCAAGGCTGTTGAGATATTTTTGCCAAATTTTAAATTTTAGCGGTAAAGAAAGCGCGTCAAACTGGCGTGACTTTGGATCTCAAATGCGAGGGTTGAACTCTGAAACGATATCAATTTGTGGCAGTAATTTGAGGGAATTCTGAGAATTTCTCCAACGGTTGTGTCTCCCAGAAGCACTAGCATTGAAAAATATGGCATGGGAGTCAATACTGAAGTTGACAATAAAATGGCGGGGTTTGCGATAACGAGTGTCGTACGCTCGCGCTTTCGAAGAAGAAGCATATCATTGGCGTACTTTCTAAAGACAGAATATTCGTAGTGAAGAATTTTGGATACATTTGATAGACTTAATTAAACAATTTAGTTCACTTATTTCTGAAGAAAAAGAGCAATCCTTGCCGCCGCGGCCGCCATTTTTGTAAACAAGCGTTACAAATTCCTGCGTGTTAACTCTTCGGGTATCTTAATCAAATTAGCTACGCACATGAACATTTTACTTGTATGGGTACACTGCCCGTACCCGTACTCCGATTTCGGGATATCTTAAAGTCTCTATTAACTAAATACAAGAGCCGTTGACGAAAATACTTTACTAAATAACATTTTAAAAAAGTGGTCTTTTCAACAATGGCTTTTACGGCCAAGATATTGTCATGGCGTTTTCGCCACCTGAATATTGTAGGTTGTTTGCTTTAAAGGGGAGATGACGGGTACCCTAGGACCCCCCCTGGCCAGAGGTCCCTTTACCAGTCGTGTTAATACACATTTTTTCTATTTTATCAGTTTTTGGCACCTCGAAAGAATTTCGCTAATATATGATATTCGCCCTCTTTTCGATTTTTTTTTTTTTAGGGGGGGGATGTAGTTCTAAACTGTAGCCTTCTGAAAACCTCCAATGCGAGTGAAAGTTAATGCAGCTGTGTGATGATTCAACTCTGCTATTGCAAACTCGAAAAACCTTCAAGTACTAGAGAATTTGTAGGTACATTTATGCTAAAAATTACCTTTCATAGCCTCTCATCATTTAGGAATAAAATTACCATTATGATAACCCCTGAGAATGTCTCGTCGTCTTGTAAAAATGATAGAGACGTAGTTTGGAAACAGTAGAAATGAAGCTCTCGATAATACCTTAATTTCATTTTCAGGATCAACGATGTCTTATTCAGTAGACCTTTTAACACATAAACGAAGACTTGAACTGGTTTGGTAAGAATATGAATGGTATTTTAGGACGATATCATTAGGATCCAAGTTGCTGTGCCTCATCAATGAAATAATGAAAGAGTTTCAAAGTAGCAGCTTGTAAGAGTATACAACATTGAGAGGGAAGACAAGGCAGGTATAAGAATTAAGTTTTTGGTGTTCATTAAACTTGGTTGTTTGGGTTAAAAAACAATTATTATTACTCCACAAACTATCAGTCAGGGCGTAAAATTGCACCTAATACAGGCCCCAATGCGACTAAATTTTTCACTTTGGCGACCAAATCCTGAAAATTAGTCGCTAAATTGGCGACTAGAATTTCTAATCACACCTTACCCAGAGATCTAGTGATTGTTGAAGATTTGGAAAGATAAATCTGCAGCGAAGTTCCTCGTTAAGCTCGTTTCCAAAACGCAGCACATGCACGATGTCCAACGTAAATCTACCGTCACTAGACGTCATCTTAGATTTAGGTAACCTCTAAGTTTGTATATGATACATTCTAGTGTCCCCTTTGCAGCTCGTGCGAATTTAACGGGCTCATTTTTTGTTTGTATGACTGTATCACTATAATATGATAATCTATCTAGTAATGAGTGACAGGGTAAAAAACATTTTGTGTGCGTGTGTGTGTGTGTGTCATAATGGCCACCAACTTTTTGGAATTGGCTACCACTTTAAAATATTTAGGAGCCAAGTGGCTACCGGAAAAAAAAGTTAATTTTACGCCCTGAGTGAGCTCCTTAGCTATCTAGTGATAATTTTAAAAGTTCTTGAAATGTTCAAGGTGTTCGAAAGGAAGGACCGCTTTCTGCATTTTTCTTAGGATCCCCTCTCCCCAGCCTCCGAATGGCTCTATCATAGACACGTCCACATCTCTCGACCATCCGCCCAGGACATCAATGATGATATTAAGTTGTTTGATGGTGTATCCTGGATACTGCTGAGCCATCTCCCACCTCAAAGGACCATACTTTGCACTCTTCTCCTCGGTCTTCGTCAGCCGGTTGTCCATCTATGGGCACGGCATCTCCACAGCTATCAGCTCTTTCCTCTTGATGTCAATGAAATGCGCATCTACTCTGTTCTGCTTCACAAACCTGTGCACCGCATACACTGGAACATCCCAGAAAGTCTTGGCCTCCTGGGACTCATAGACTGGNCAAGGATCGGTACTTGGCCCAACATTGTTTGCATTGTACACCAATGACCTACCAAGTGCTGTTACCTCTGGCTTTGTCTACATGTACGCAGATGACACAACCGTTTACTGCATCGGGGACACTGTCGACAACACTGTCACTTCTTTGAACAAAGCTTTATCGGAATTGAACAGTTGGTGTCTAGAGAACTCTTCAAACCCTCACTCGGCAAAGTGTGAAGCTATGCTGTTGATGAGGAAACCGCACATCGGGCCACTAAATTCGGTGACAATTGGGGAGGATCGGATCGAGTGGGTGAAACACTCTCGTCTTTTGGGTGTTACTATCGACGAGAGACTTTCATGGACCCACCACCTTACTAATGTGAGACGTTTTCTGATTGCTTGTGATTGATTCTAAGCTGATCGTCTAGAGGTAAAGTTGACCCCTGACCGAAACCTTTCTATGATGTTTTCTGGATACCCTCTTGCTTTGAGGCGTTTCCGAAGAAAGCCTCAAAACCAGAAAGCCTCAAACCCGTAGTTACCATTTCAGAAAATCTTCCACTTTCCGACCATGTCAGGGAAATCCGTCCCCAGTAAGAGCTTAACTTTTGTTCCCATTTCTAAAAGAAGTGACGCATTCTTAGTTAGCAGGAGTTTGTCTTAAACATAACTCAGTTATCGACTATTGACCGTGATTTGTTCTACTCCAGAGTTCCCATAACAGCGTCAAGGGAAAACTGGACCAAACATTGTTTGATTCAGAATTCTTGTGGAGAGTAGCTAAAATCTGACAGCAAATTGAAGAAAAAAGAAGTATTAGCGAGGAGGGAAAGATCTCGTGCAAAGCAGTCTGTAATTACAGCTGTGTTGATATAGTCAAGTTGGTTGTGCTACAGGAGGTAGTGGAGACAGCCATGTCTGTCTGTCTGTTGCGGTCAAGGTAGTAGAGTTAGTTGTGTTTTGCTTGCTTTGGTCGAGAAAGTACATTAAGCTGTGCCGAAAGAGTGGTCTGGTAAAGTGCTCAGGATGAAGTGGTCTATAGTTAGCTGAGTAAGTCGACGCAGCTAAACTGGCAGTGTTGGTCGAGATAATCTGGTTGCAACCTTGTGGCGTGGCAGGATAATTGACCTGGGCCGTATCTTCCAGTTGTGGTGAAGCTAACTATTAACTGTCGGTGGTAAAGCAGCGATGGAGTGTAGTGCTACCTGAGTAGAACAATACTCAGGCAGTGTACAGTGAATATCCCTTGGAATTGAAAGAGAAGAGCCAATGGAGATGATGGTAACGAGTTGGTCAAGTTCAATTTTTGGAGGTCTTCTGGTGTAAGGACTTTACAATTGATAATGTTGGTTTTGGCCACCATGATGGGAAACAAATCCCTCCACACTGATATGCCGATAAAATCTAGAGTGTCTCACAATGGAAAATTTCCAAGAACGAAACTGAACAAAAGAAAGGCACTTTCTAGGATGAAGGAATGGAGCGAATAAAAAACTGCAGCACATCATGTAAATATAGATGTTATTAATAATAAAAAGTGGACGATTAAGTAAAGTAAATCGGATCTAAACAAGTTGAAAATTAAAATTTAATAATTTAAGTGGTAGATATAATTGAGAATGTGATATATGTTGAAAAATCACAGCACTTCATATAAATGTAAATGATGTATTAAGTCAAAAAGAAGCTGAGTAAGTAAAGGAAATGACCGGGACTGAATTAAACACGTTGAAAGTTAAATCTACAGCAAGTCATATTGATAAAAAAACATAAGTAAAGGAAGTAAATTATTTCAATACGGAGAAAGTTAAAAAACTTCGGCACGTCATATTGATAAAAATATGAGTAATAATATGAAAATAAATGATTTTTAAATCATTTACTTTACTTACTCATATCTTCTATCTTTTTTCTTTTTTGTTTAATGACACGGAAAAAGTCATTGCTTGAAAGGGCATGCTCTATCAGAGTACAGAGAACGAAGCTGAGCTAAAGCTGTCGCGCCATCTGCCAATTTGTACTTTGTCTACCTTTTCCTGGTTAACTGAAGGTGAAAAATTCGGGAAAAGCGAGCATTCGAGTAGCAACAGAAGAGCCAAAAAAGGTTTGTAAACATGCTAAGCGCCGTAATTTGCATTTTCATAATGTGGGCAGAGACGAAAATCCTCAATTAAAGAGAAAACGAAATGGACAGTCAGTTTTGAAGGTTTTCGCGCAGTGACCAGATTGTAAACTTGCACTATGTTACATCTTTTTCTATATTCCGCACCATTTTTGCCTTATACAATTGTTAGAGCAGAAGAAGCCCGATCTCGCAAAATGACCCTTTCGTTAACATGCAAATACGTTGACGTGTGCAATGGCCGAAATGTAGGGGTTTGTGTGGGAACAAACGGCCGGGCTCTCGACTCAAAATAGGGAGCTTAAGGTTAAGCAACCACGACGAAAGGGACAACGACGACCTCAAGTAATCGCGGAGGGACTGGAACGAGGGCGTCGTTTTTAGCGGGAAAATGAAACTTAAGCAGTGAAGTTGCTCAACGACGACGACGTCTGAAATTTTTGGTTATTCTCACTTCGTCAGTTTAAGAAATGACATCGTTCAGAGACCTCCAAAACCTTCTTCTCAGTCATGGATCAAATTTTCACCTATATCGGAAGTTCGAGAGTAGGTTATTCAATTCTTGAACATCAAAAGTCCAAGGAATTATTAAGCTTTAGCTTTATTTACAATAATTTACGCATGATAAAAGTTTAAAATATAAATTTTACGGAAGTTATT